CCTCGATTTTACCGTCATGTTTCAGACAGTCCCACCGTTATCCAGCTTCATGTGTTTGGTGATGCAAGTGAACAAGCATTCTGTTCTGTAGCCTATTTCAGATTCAGTTATGCCAATGGTTCTGTCAAGTGTGCCTTTGTAACAGCTAAGACGCGTGTAGCTCCCAAGAAACCTTTGAGCATCCCTAGACTAGAGCTGCAAGCTGCAGTTTTAAGTGCGAGGTTATCTACTGTGGTAATCAAGGAACATGATTACAGGATAGACTCTACCTACCTGTGGACTGATAGTAGCACTGTGTTTCAGTGGATTCGTGGTGAATCCAAGCGACACCCCGCTTTCGTTGCGAACCGAGTTGGAGAGATTCTGGACACAACTGAACCAAGCCAATGGAATCATTGCCCTGGTGCTCTTAACCCAGCAGACGATGGTAGCAGAGGACTTCCAGTCATAGTTATCACATCAGAGAGTAGATGGTTGAATGGTCCTGTATTTTTAACCCTTTCTGAAGAAAAGTGGCCTAAGGGAAATTCAAAGCTTGAATCCTCCAGCCAGCAGAAACAAGAGACTTCAGCGTACAGTGCATCGCAAGCTCAAACTTCAAAAGAAGAGTTCATTTCGTTAACCAAGTATTCATCCCTAACACGACTTCTTAGAGTAACTGCTTACTCTTTCCGATTTGTTTACAACTGCAGATGTCGAAGGACTGACCGTCAAAGTGGCCCATTGCTAGTGGAGGAGTTGGAGCGTGCTCAAAAGTTCTGGATTGGCACCGCCCAAGTGAAAAGTTTCCCTCAAGAGATTGCAACCCTCAAGAGAAACCAGCAGGTCTCTCCCAAGAGTAGACTGGCCTCTCTTTCTCCCTTCCTCGATGGAGACGAAATTGTTCGTGTTGGTGGATGGATCGAAAGGGCAGATATTCCATTCTCAAGTCGACACCCCATTGTGTTATCACCTGATAATGAGCTGAGTCGCCTCATCGTTATGGACTGTCATGAGAAACTGAGGCATGAAGGTGTTGAACATGTTCGGAACGTACTGAGACGACAGTATTGGATCCTACGTTGCCGTACAGCTGTAAGGAAGATTCTACACCGATGTTCATACTGCAGAAGGAGAAGAGCAAAGCCAGAACCACCTTTAATGGCGGGACTACCCGCCGACCGCCTGCAGGTCGCACCCGCATTCTCAAAGGTTGGAGTAGATTTCTTTAAACCTCTGTAAGTGAAGCACCTCAGGAAGCAAGAAAAAAGATATGGCTGCCTTTTTACCTGTCTTGTAACTAGAGGAGTACATCTCGAAGTCGCCCACTCCTTATCTACTGATTCTTTCATTATGTCTCTCCGACGGTTTATTGCAAGGAGAGGTAAACCGACTGTTATATACTCTGACAATGGTACGAACTTTGTTGGGGCGAATCGCGAAATGCAAGAGTGTCTTAATGGGTTGAATCAGGACAAAATTGCAGGCGCACTGAGTAAAGAACGAATTCAATGGGTATTCAACCCTCCTGCAGCACCCCACATGGGGGGAGTATGGGAACGTTTGGTGAGGTCCTGCAAGAAAGCCCTTAATGTTGTTCTGCAGAATCAAGTTCTGACGGATGAGGTGTTGTTAACTGCAATTACTGAAGTTGAATCCCTAGTCAACAGTCGTCCATTGACTGAAGTGAGTTCAGATGCAGATGATCTTGAA